TCAATTTGAAACGGTAGTTTCTCTTCTTTCCTTTTTTGTCACAGGAAGACGATGTTATCAGGCAGCTTGAGCGCCAAGCAATGGAAGACCTTGGACTTCTTCAAATTTCTGATCGTAAGATTCATGAAGATTCCAAGTCCGCTGACGATGACAAAGGCGAAGTATTCTGTTCGAATGTCTCGAAAGCTCTAGATAATCGTGATTCTGTTTTAAAGAAGCCTCAGGCTTGTTCTCGACCTCCACCTGCCTTCAATTCCAAACAGCCCGCTTGGGAAGAAAACCTTTGTTCACGTGATATCACCTCAACTTGTCTGCAGAATGACTCCAGTTTCTGTCCACCCGTTCGGCTAGCGTACCCTACTCCAGTAAAAGGAACTTCAACCGTCAGCACTGTTTCTAATACGCTACGTAGTTGCGATTCCCCGCCTAAAGGAAGTCAGTCGAGTCTCGAGAATGGTTCCAGTTTCTGTCCACCAGTTCAGTTTGCCTACCCTACTCCAGTAAAAGGAACTTCCTCTGTCATCACCGTCCCTAATACTCTATGCAGTTACGGTTCCCTGCCTGAAGGAAAACAGCTGATCAATTCAAAGGCCATGCATACAAACAACTTATCTCTCAGGTCGGCGTTATCGTCCTCAAATCCACGAAGCTTGCCTTCGAGAAACGCCGCCCAAGCTCGCGGTGTCGGCGAAGTTTGTTCTCGGTTGCGCTGGGATAAGGTTACTGCTGTTGATGATTTAATGAGTGCATTCCGACCAGCGACGTCCTCTTTCCGGACAACAGCGAAGGTCAAAGCCCAGGAAACGCTACTCGACATGGAGGTCGCCTCCTACATGGCTGTCAGTCAAAGCTATTTGGTCAAATCACTGAAACACACAGGAAGGCCGATGAATCCTTTAGCTCGACAGTTTCTTGAGGGAGATTCAGTGGTAGGTTATGATGTATAGCTGTAGAGAAAGTGGCGAATATTTAAACAATTATTGAATGAGGCGGAGTATGCATGATGCGGAGAATTAAGCAGATAAAGAAGGATGGATAACAGCCTCGGTGCCTAACAGCCTCCGAGATCAGCATAATTCTTCACATCATACGAAAGCCGAATTCAATAATTGTTCTGTTATTCATTCGAAATATTTTTAATTTCTTAGAAAGCCACGGTTTTAGATACTCCTCGTAAAGTAGGTAACAGACATCGAGCAATGTGTTTCGCGTATGTTTGCATTTCTTCCAGTCAGTTTTAGCCAGAAATTCAGCTGTTTCGTTTTCGCATAGCCGTGAACGCCATTTGTTGACTTCACTATTGCCCAAGTAACCTCGTTTCTAAGCAAATAGCAAATATACCATTGATTAACCCCGTTACCAAAAGTACCGTCTGCTAAGCAGCGCCGAGATCCTTGTTCTGGATGTACAACGGACTTGACGAATTACCGAAAATTCTTTTCGAATTTCCTTTCATCCTGATTGGCAAATCGACAATGGCTTTTTTAACAGGTCATTCCACAGGCGACCCAAGCTCAGTGTGTGAGTTTAATCATTAATACATGCAGTTTCATATTGCGTAATTTAAAATGGCCGTGAATATAAAGGATTTGTTTGGGAATTCAGGTAAAAGATTCAAGTAAATAAATACTCCCTAGAATGTTCAATAAAATACAGCTTACCGTATTCACTTTGCTTGTTTTTGCTTGCTGTGTGGTTATCGCTTAAATCGCAATGGATCGGGAAAATAACCACAGAGCAAGCAAAAACAAGCAAAGTAAATACGGTAAGCTGTATTTTATTGAACATTCTAGCGAATATTTATCTACTTGAATCTTTCACCTGAATTCTCATACAAATCCTTTATATTCACGGCCATTTTAAATTACGCAATATGAAACTACATGTATTAATGATTAAACTCACACACTGAGCTTGGGCTGTCTGTGGTCAATCATGGAGCGTACTCAAATCCTGGTAAAGAGCTGGGGGGCCCAGAACAAGGATTTCGGGGCTATTTCGCAGACGGACTTAACCAAAGTTCTGTTTTTTCTGTGGCACAGGCAAGGAGTAAAGGTGTTCGCAAACGTTTATACATTTAGTATAGAAAATTCCAAAACTCAGAGCAAATACTCACACAGACAAATATTCACATTTTACCTCGAACCCCCGCCTTGAACACGAAAGTTCTGTAGACCTACAAGCAATTTACTATCCTCTCTTGGGGATTCATAACTTTTCTGCTACGCAACCTGTCAATTCACAACGCTGGTAAGTCCGAGTGATTTGGACGAAGTATTCGTTTCGTTTTTCTTAACATTTGCTCTGAGTTTCGGAATTTCTATACTAAACACCTTTTTGGTAAATTTTATACAATCAGTTGAACCTCCTGTGAGCAAGAGGTGTCTCCGTAGGAACAGTAGTCGCTTTTGGGAGGTTAAAATGCAGTGTTTGTTCGTTGCCTGGAGGAAGTTCTACTGTATTTCAATAGGACAAAATAATGGTGGTGGTGGTGATGATGATGATGAGTAATTTTGTTTCTTGTTTTTTGCTTTTTTTCTTTTGTTTGTTTTTTTTTTTCTTTTTCAGCACTTTCATCCAATAAACTCGCGATAAATTGGCTGGGGAGCAAGACTTTTCTATCACTCAAAGCTGAAGCAATCTGGGCAACAAGAAAAGAGTCAGAGGCAATATTACGATAATTCTTCAAATTGATCGTGAAATCGACGATACATTTATGAAAAAACGACCTTTGAACTTGTAGAAAAACAAGAGATAAAGACATGAATAATCCTGGTGTCAGTAATCATATTCAACGACCTTGTTCTCTTTTCTGTAACAACACTTAATCATACTTTGAAACGTCGGCTGGCGTTTTCAACGTTTTAGTCCACTTGCTTCCGACCATCCCTCAGCTAAAAACGCTTTCAGTCAGCGCTAGTATAGTGTACATCTATCCCCCGATGCATAGCGGTGTGAATATACGTGGATACATCCTGGAACGCGAAACGTCGACATTAACATCTAGCACTGTGCACCGACCTTGAGTAGGAGGGGATAGTTTTCGTATTTACCAAATCAGTTGGGTAAACATGAAAAGTAAATTTTTGTGTTAAAAAAATACGTGACTTAGTAAGAGCTTCGTTTACTTTTTTATTGACAATGTTTCGGGGATTTTTCAAGCGCATTTTGGAGCTATCCTCCAATTTGGTAAATACAGATAATTTTTATTAGTAGTGCGCTTTGATTGGTCAGTTTAGCTAGCCGTGTAGACCTTTCCTGCATTCCGCTCCAGTGAGCAAGCACAAAGAAATGAGGTCGAGGCTCCTTGGGTGGACAATTTCATACAAATCACGGTATTTTGTCCACCCAAGCCTCGAGTTAGTGCCTTAGGAATGTGGGAACGGTCTATTTCACTGTATTGCCCGCTAAATTCAATACCGTAAATCCTCTATTAAGTCCCCTTGGGGGCTTATTTATTTCAAGCCCATTTGAGAGGGAGGGGGGCTTATTAATTGAGAAAAGACGATAGTATCAGTTCTCCCTAAGGAACTAGAATACAAAGTGGAAAAGCTCAAGTACAAGAAGGTTGGAGGTACTTCCATTTGGTAAATAAACCATCCCGGATCAGTCCACACGAAGTTTTAGAGTTGTGATTGATTAACCCAGTCTATCAGTGAAGAATTAGTAGGAGAGGGGAGGGGGGGCTTATTAACTTTATTCCCCTGAAAAAGGGGGGTGCTTAATAGTGGATTTACGGTATTTTGTTTTGGTTGCAATTCGTGACGGAAAAACACTATTAAACTAATCGCTACATGTAGTTCGCGCTTTGGCCATATTTTCTGGCAGATGTAACTTAGTTCATAACTTGCAGTATTTACCTCAAACTCGGTTATTAAGAGGCTCTTATCAAGGCCTTTTACATATTGCAAGTTAAAGGGAACTGCCCTCAAAGCTGTGTATAAGAAACGAGTTAGCACATTCCCATAGCGGTGTACAGGATAAATATAATTGACTGCTCAAAGAAAACTCTTCGCTTGATATTTTGTACTGACTTAATTAGCTTACGTGTATATAGGTAACTTGGCCGTGTATTAAAATATGTATTTTAGTAAAGTATCAATTGTACAAAAGCTAATAAAGTAGATTCAAGAACAAATCATCGTTGTCCAAATGGGTTACTTTGTTGTTTTCGTCTTCTTCCTTATGTGAGGTTTTTTCCTCCAGGCTATCCAACGCAGGTTGCAAGGTATTGCTTGTTCTCTTTTTAGCGCTCGAAACGAAGCTGAAAAGTGAAATGCTCCCAAAGCCTGTGTATTTAAGCAACGTGAATCTGCTTGCGAGTTCAGATAGTGACGACGGTACAAACCGAATAGAGCAGATAATGCAGTGGGTTGTTGGGGGAAAGGAGGGGGGCGGGATATGCAGGGCTGAGATAACCTATACCTCATCGAGACTTCATGAGCGATAGGATACGAGAGCCTCGGAAGCAAGGCGTCCCCACAGAACACCCTTGCTTGTATAAAATGAACTGTTAATAAGTTGGCAAAATCGTGACTGCGATGAATGTACACCAATACAGGCAAAATACACTCATGTAAATGTGATGTGACCTAAAGTGTCTTGTATTGTCATCCTTTTGAACGTGACGAGACGAAACCGGTTGCGTGAGAGTCTATGTTACAAAAGAATTGGTTCCTGCTTTTAGCTGTGCGTATATCAAGTTATGGATGCATTTGTAAAGTTTGGAGTACACTCAAGAAGCTTATCTCGTGCTCTCCATACTTACCGCGCGCATCCACAACTCGATACACTCACGTTATTAAAACACGTCTGACTTGTTTTTTGTTTGCTACTCACTCACTTGGAACATTTCAGGGCTGCTATTCAACCGTAATATGGCATTGTTTGAGCTGACATAAATAATTAGTATAAATTAAAATAAGAACACCGTCTGTACCCTCAGGGTGGACTTTTCTTCAGAAACTGATTTATCATTTGTCCATTTGCTACTTTCAAATATGGCTGCCTATTCTGAGCTTCTTCTGGCAAAGTATGCCCAGTTTCGAGAACAAGATGAATTCATCGACGTTCGCTTAAAAGTGGGTGAAGAGGTTTTCTCAGCTCATCGTATTGTGCTTGCTGCCAGTAGCGATTATTTCCACGCCATGTTTGCTCATGGCATGAAGGAGGCAAACCAGGAGGTAATCGAGCTAAAAGACGAAAATATTTCAGCCGCTGCTTTAAAGAACGTGCTTGATTCCATCTACAGCGGAAATTTCACGGCAGTCAACGATGAAAACGTTTTTGAAGTTCTTGTTGCAGCCGATCACCTCCAAGTTACAAGTGTTGTTCAACAATGTTGTGAATACCTTCAGACCGAATTTGTTCAGCTTCGATCTGACATGCAAACGTATTGTCGCATCTGCACCATAGCTGATCGACACGGTCTGAAAGACCTGCAAGAAGCGACACAGCGCAATATGGCGTCGAGGTACAAGGAAGTTTGTGAAAGTGAAGATTTCTTGTCCCATATCGATGCAGATCAGCTCTCAAACCTTGTGCTTCGAGACGACTTGAGTTCCCCTTCAGAAACATTTGTTTTTAGATCTGTGATGCAGTGGATAAAGCACAAAAAAGAAGAGAGAATGTCGGCCGCCGCCAAAGTTGTCGGAGCTGTTCGTCTCGGGCTGGTGGACATCAAGGATGTTATCAGAGAACTCAATACAGAGGAAATGAAACAAGTGCCAGAGATTCAAAATCTTCTTCTCGAATCACTCGTATATAACCAAATTCCGTCAAGCTCTACTTTTGGTGAAAAGAAAATCATGCCACGCTCGAACGGCCTGGTAAGAGACCGAAAAAACTTAAAAGTTGTTGTTTGTTTTTTTTTTTGTCTTAGTTTTTCTGTCTACTTTGTTTTTCTCTATCAATGACAAAAAATTATCTAAGTGGGCTTACCCGTGTTTCAGTCTTGCAAAACTAATGGGTTGTAATTGTGAGGGCTTAGAACATAAAAGTTCATGACTGCGAACAGAAATATTAAAGGTCCATCACTCATGAGCAGCAGTAATTCTTTCGTTTTCATTCAAAGGTGAAACAAAGGCTTATTGGCTCTTGAGACAAGGGCCCTGGTTGGCATATGTAAATACCAACAAAAACAATGTTTGTAAGAAGACACTGACTTTTTTAAATTCCATTGTGCATCCTTTTTTATGAAAAAAAAATGAGAGTAGTCTATCTTACCGCGAGAGTGGCCGAATGGCGCTTCATTTGAATACATGGCAAATCATGATAAGCTTATGAATTTTGTGAGCTTAATAATTAAGACAAATTACAGAAACAGTATCTTGAAGCTGCCGACGATGATTTACGTTATCCCTTGAAGAAAGGAAAGCAAAGATCCTTTGTTGAAGCTTAAGGCTATATTAGCTAGAGAATAAACTACCCTCAGTGTGTACAGCCGCCCCCTCAAAAAAAGGGCTGAACACAGGCGAGAATAAACGAAATCATGCCACCTTAAACGATGGAGACTTAGGTTTAGCTGTAATAAGGGACTGTGCAATAATTGTCAGGAAGGGGGGGTCCTAAAATGAGCTTCACCAAAGGAAAAATTAGATATAGGTCCCCCCTCCAGCAGCGTCAAGATTAGCTCTGACCCCCCCTCACGTTCTCTCAAAATTATGATGTGCCCCCCCCCTCTCTAACCCGTACCTTTATTCGCCGTACTGCAACGCATTCCACTGCGTCGTCAGGGATGAAGAGCACTTCGAAACTTTGTTCTTCATAATCGTCAATTTCCGAATTGTCTGATTGTTCATTATCTTCTTGGTCTTCGGAACTGCTAGATTGCTGCTCATCCGGGTTTTCTTTACCTTGAGCTTCCCCAGCACCTAGAACACGAGCTACGAGTGCTGCTTTCCCTCCGCTGACAGGTAAACCGTGTTCCTTTAGGTAGAGTTTCAGTTTACTTGCAGACAGCGAGTTGACTTCAACCTCGTCGGACTAATTAATGTCTGGAAGTTTGTTCCTTTCCGTTGCCCGTTTTTTTGCTTTCATTGCGAGGAATTTTTGGTGCTCTATGAAGTTAAAGCATGTGTTCATGTTGATGCAATATTTAGACATTGTGGATAGTCAAAGGAGTGGCATCTGTCTATTTGGACAATGTTTATTTATTCATTATCGAATTTGCGAAATTTAATTAAGACCCCCCCTCAACTTACTTGAGAAATCTAATGTAGCGCCCCCCCCCCCTCCTTTCCATTATTTTAACTTAAGGCCCCTCCCCTCTGGTTTTAGGGGCCCCCTCCTGATAATTATTGCACAGTCCCTAACGATAGTAATATACTGTCGAAGCCCTCCTTGCGATCACTCTCGTTATCAAGCGACCAGCTCTAGTTACGAACACCTCTGTGAAACTCCGTTTGAGAGAGGTCATTCTCGACTGAGAAAGCTCATTTTCGTAAGCGACCATTTCTAGTCACGACCACCTTTTTTTGATTTACGAGGTGGTCGCTTACGAGAGCTTCGACTGTACAAAAATTTCCAGTTTTGTGTTTAATCCTATAGTTTTGAGAGCAAAGATATGTTTTGGACAAAGAAAAACGTTCTAGTGATTATGGATTAAACACTCGAACCATGTCTCTTTTAACGCGAAATGTTATTTCAAAGACTATACTTCTGATTCAAAAAACAATTGTTACTCTCTGAAATAGGAAGAAATGCGCGACCGTTTACTTATGCAGCATCTCTATGATCAAAAAGAAGGGAATAGAATGAAGGTGTTCCTTCAACAAGTAGCATTCCAAGGCCTTATTTTTAAGTTACGCTATGGTTATCATCTAAGACAAAAGTAGTTGGGACGACTGAACAACTTAACAGTAGTCCATTATAATCTTCAAAACATAGCGTTTCCTCTTTTGCCAAATATTCCCCGTCTCACCCCCCCGTTATCCCCTACAATTCAATGTTGGGATCGGTAACAGAACAAATAATCCAGAAACATTCACGTTTTGCTCAACACTGGGCCAGGGGCGGAGGAAGAAGGAGAAAAAGAGTCAAAAAGTAACAGCCTTCACAACTCATTTGACGATGGTTGAAGGTTACTTTTAAATTTTTTTTGGTGACAAAAAGGTATCCTGGCAAATTTTGTGCTTTCTTATTTATTTATATTTATTTATTTATTAACTTATTTATTTATCTCATGTTAGGTCCTGGTTGCTGTCACTTCTAAGAGTCAAATGCAGTACTTTGATGTTGAAGCTAAAGCATGGAAACCTCTGACAACGTTGCCACCAGCACCTGAAATGAATACTAAGTACCCTTACTCAGTAAAGTTTGGCTGTAAAGTGTTTGTTGGTGATGGGTGCTGGGTTCAATGCTATGACATAGAAAGGAATGTATGGGAATTTAAGCTTTATTACTCTGGTGCAGGAACGATCAGTAACCTTTGCAGTATCAAAGATAACTTGTATCCAATCCCGTCCAGTGTTAGCCACATTCCTGAAAGATATAACTTAGCTGAATGTCGATGGCAAAGATTTGCAAAAGTGAATATTAAAGAAGATTCTTCCAATTCCTTCTATAACAGTGGAGCAACAGCAATGCACTCAAACCTTTATGTACTTTATGGGCATAAAACGAAAGTCCAGTCCTCCTGGCAGATTCAGAATGCAGTGCTACATTGCTTTGATCCACTGAGGAATAGGTGGCAACAAAAAGCCTCAACTTGCCTGCCTCACTTTGGATCCAGTCTTTTTGTAGTATCAGGCAAATTGTACGTTGCAGGGGGTTGTGTTTCTGTTTTAGAAAGTGGTACACCATTTGGTAAACCGGCACCTGTAGAAGTGTATGACAAAGGAAACAACACATGGTCCGTTGTTAAACAAAGCCGAATTCCACCAAACGAACTTGGTGCAGTGGAAATAAAGGGGAACGTCTATTTTATCATCAACAAATTCCTTATTGATAGTGGTATTAGAATCCCACCAGGAGAGCTTTATCCTGTTAATTTAGATGACTGGAAAAATTTAGGGAAGGTTGACAAAAAGGCAAGCTTGTGCTATATACCACTAAAGAGTGACTCTTTGAACGTGGACTAACTAGATCAATTTAATGGAATTCTTCGCAGTTTAAAATTGTGAAAACGAAAGAAAAACCTGATTAATACTCTCAGGACATTACTCCACCGAACTTGAGATCGTGGATGGTTTAAGCTGCAGCGTAACCGTTCCTCACATCTTACATGAGGTACACATGACATATGGCAGCTGATGTTTCTCTTGGATGATGAAGCCTGATCGAGTAGAAACCATTCCTAAATGTTCCAGCTTTAATTTATTTAAGTCGCCCGATACAAGTAGTAGACAATAGTATTGTGACAAGTGAAAGTACACTAGGCTGTCCTTTATTCGGTATTTGACATTAAGTGGCGTTTTCGTTCCTTAGTCATGTAGCAAACCCGGGACAAAGAACCCCTTGCCACCGTATACAAACTTCAGTCAAATAAATCAAACTAATAGGAATATATTTAAAAATGTTACTGCAAGGGTTTCTCTTTGGTTTCATTTTTGGGGTGTTCCGGAGTGTTTCGGCGTTTCTAGTTTCACTATATGCAGATAATGAGCCCTGGAAGATCTCCCCTATGAATAATGTACTAAGACGCTCGTCGGAAAATTAGAATTAAACCCTTAAAGGAGACTAACCTGAGTGTGTTAAGCCTTTTTTTGACCTTCAAAGGGGACCATACGCCTGCACAATACGATACTGTGTACGATTGCGTTTATATCTTTTAACATACATGTATTTCTATGCTAAACAACACCTTTTTGTCCTAAACACCATAAGTGCGAACAAAATCTGCAATTCGTATTCTTAAGCTACAATCAAGGACACTCATCTTGAGTCACACTGCTCTGATACCTGTCTTTCTCTCTTCCAATGTTGTTTTGTAAATGTTTTTTTCTGTAGACTAGTCCAGGTTTGAGGTCAACTTTGAAAGGGAGAGTGAAAAGGGGGTCAAGCACAATATGTCGACGTTGTTCCTTTAATTGATCCAAGTTCTAATGTTACGGATTGAAGACAACGAGTATCCCTGTCACTTTTACACTGGATTCTCCCCTCGGGATAATGGTCTCCCTGAAATGCCCGTAATTTTTCTCTTTCCCCTAACTTGACTTATGCCTCAAGCTAAGTGGTTATCGGTAACTGTTCACTTCACTTCTTTCATTTTTGTGATCCCCGAGGATAAAGGGCAAAATGAACAAAGCCCAGTGTTTAATTTTTTTTTAAATCCTTAGTTGGATAGACCCCACACTATCAGTGTGTCCTTCGCCACATGCAAGTCCCATGAATCTCCGGATTCTGCAAATCGTCGCTTTTCTTAACCAAACCCGGGCTTCTGTAGACGTGCAGCTTCCTCAAAAATGGATCACCTTGTTCCCAACAGTTTCTGTTCGTGGTTCCAAATTTCGGCCAAGTCTTTAGTGCTCATTCTTCCCAGAAATTCGTCTCTCTTTCTGTTACTTCTAGTCACCTCCTTGCATTGTGCGGCTAGTCATTGATACTTAAGTTTACACCTGTTTCGCTCCTGCGCTCAAAAACAGATGAATTGCGACCCTGTTCCAGACAATAATTACTGAAATTTATAAAGATAGGAATCCTTTTCTTGTGGCCCGCTTACTGATAAAACGACTAGGGGAACGTAATTCCAAACCTAAGCTTTATCAAGAACAATCAGGGATCATGGGGGGAAAAATTCTCCAGATCAAAATGAAGTAAAATATATCCCTCTTACAGAGATAAAGGGTGATTTATAGACCCTAATCTAGATTCAGAGAGGTAAAAAGCATACCCGTTTGAGCGGCACATATCCTTGTAGTCCATATATGGGAGTACCCTCCGCCCCGGGGCCTTCTATTCCCTGTTAATTTTTTTCCTTAATTTATTTCGTGTTGGCAAAGCCTAGTCCCTAGACGTTCTCAGCTCGGTCAATCCTGGACTCTACCGTAATCTGTGACATCATCGACAGAGACTCGCCGAGAACTCTCTAGCACGGACAACTGGGCAAAAGCGTTTGCACAACTGGAAATTTTCCGACCAAAATCTTACAGGTTGTCTTGTCTTCGGGTGAAAACTAACAACCAGCCCGAGAGACAATTAGTATAAACAGGTACCAACAGGTTGTATGCCACCTTACTAAAAAACAATCATACAATCGATATCACCAGACGCCGGAACAAATTTCTCAAAAAATCAAATTTATTCCAATATGTATGTAAAAATGAACTACACCTGGAGAAAAGTATATCACTGAGAAAACTGCGACGGTAAAAGAAATTCATGCGTATCCCAGTCAATATCACCGGGTGATCGCAGTTGATTGGAGGGTTCTACTTCGATGTCGAGGAATTTTATGGTAACAAGTTTAACAACACACAATTGTGATCAGATGGTCAACAAATTTAATGATGTTTAAGTCCGCTCGATTAGAAACCATCTAGAAAGGTGCTTAAACAAGATTCGGCGGATGAGGTAACTGCACCTACATCATCAACCAACGGAGATTTCACCAAGCTTCCAAGTAAAGGAAAATCACTTCGCATCGCCCGGCGAAGCTTGAACGATCTTTAACACTCCAACCAGGACGGTAAATTCAAACCATTCAGAGACTCGAAGGGGTGGCTTACTTCTTTGGTTAACATTTAAAAGAAAACGTTATTTTCATGAAACAAGCCTAAAAAGACTACCTTGACTTGTCTAAGTGCTCTAACCAAATTCGTAATTTGACGGCCTTAACACGCTCTATATATTCCCGGTGTTCTTCGCAGGAGAAACGATCTCTCGAGCTGAAAAGATCTTTCGGTTCGGCTACTTGTCCTCGGTGGTCCGGCGGATCAGCTGTACTTTAACGTAACGGAAAGAATGCCGCTATCTGGCATAGTTCTAATTATTGGAATTCTACTGGGCATAACTACATTAATCGGTATCCTAGGTAACATCTCTGTTTGTCTTGTGGTGTTTTGGAATCGTTCCATGAGGACTCAGCTTCACCTTTTGTTAGTGAACTTAGCCATCGCCGATGTAGGTATGTCTGCGTCTTGCATGCCGTTTGCTGTGGCCACAGTTCTTTTTCACGAACAGGTAAAAGTAAAACGCAATAGAGAGAGTGTTAATAAAGCACCATAAGATGATCACGTGACCAATTTCCTCACCATTTGGTAACACGGCTGCCTTTTTTTCCGCTTGCTACTTTCAACCAACCTAACGATTTTTTCCGGTAGGGGATGCTAATTTGTCCACAGACTCGAAAGTTAGAACCAAATAAATAGCACTGTGTCAGAGTACAGCTGAAGAGATTTCATTTGAATGGTCTCGCCATTGGATTTCATCCACAGATTCAAAAGTTAAAGCTGCATGCAAAGTATATAGTACGACCAAGTGAAAGTATTGCTGAAGAGGTTTCATTTGAATGGTCACATCATAAGATTTCATCCACAGACACAAAAATTAGAGCTGCAAACAAAATATAGTATTATGTGAAAGTGTTTCTGAAGAGGTTTCATATAAATGTTCATGATCATACCATAGGATTTCATCATCAGATTCAAAAGTTAGAACTACATTCTAAATTAATAGTACCATGTAAAAGTACTGCTGAATAGCTTCCATTTGAATAGTCACACTGTACGATGTATCCACAGATACAAAATTCAGAAATGTCTTCCACTTTTACAATTGAGGTAATTTTTTTCTATTTCTTTAATCTTGAAATTTCTTCCTTGGGAAAGGGGTGTATGAAACCTTAAGGCAACCAGGTGATTCCAGGATAGGGCGGCAAATTCCAGGCGTTCAGGGTGTTAGGATGAGAAAGGAAAAATTTTATGGCGATGGTGACTGAACGCCTGAAGAGCACGCGAGGGGGAACACACCCCGTGTGCGCTCCCGTCGCTTCGCTCTAACAAAATTAGCGGGCTAAATCATAATTTAAACTCAGTGACTGAGGCAGTTAGACCGCTGTCTTTTTTGCACAATAAAATGCTAACTCGTAGTTTTGTTCCTTTCAGACAATCGGAAAACGCTTCTGCTATTTCAATGGTTTCATTAACACGTTCTTTGCCTTGGCAAGCGTTCTTACCATTTGTTCTCTCTGTGTTTATCAGTACGTTTCCGTTGTATTACCGCTGAACAAATCCCTCACTAACTTCCGTTGCCTCGTTATGGTGTTGTGCGCATGGACAATTTCGATCTTTCTGGCCATCGGACCTGTGCTGTATTGGGGCCGCTACGAGTTTACATCAAACATTTTTAACTGCGAATACTACCACACGACCAAAGAAGCAGAAATTTCGTACAATATCACTTTGATGCTCTGTGGATTTTTATTCCCTTGCGCTTTTATGCTTTTTAGCTACCTAAGCGTTTTACGAGCCCTGCACAAACATCAATCGCGCATGGCAGTTACGTCGACAATATCTCCGGCGCCCGCTGCCGGATCACCTGTTTCCTTGGAAACAAAATTGCGCATGACAATGTCGGTAGTGTTTTTAACCTTTGTCGTTTGCAGGACGCCTTTTTTCGTCTTTTTGGTACTAGCGACTTACGACTTGGGAAATCCACCCGATTTTCTGGGGCAGCTGTCATTCTGGGCCATTTATCTACACAGTGCGTGCGATCCTTTCATTTACGCGTTTAAGCACACAGAGTTCCAGGAAACGCTAAGAGATATTTTAAGGACATTTAGACTAGCGATCACAGCTAGCTGTTGCTTTTGTTCATCAAAAGATTCTGTTAAAGAAGAACATGTGGTGAAAGAGAAAAAATGAAACGTGTAACTAGCCAGGCCCCTTTTGTTCAAAAGTTTCGAAATGTTTATATAGTGCTCTCCAAGAATATCATCACTATCCACACGGAAATAAACCAATCTTAGGATATGTCTTGAAGAGAGACTTGGGGGGGGGGGTACTCCTTCTTTTGGCCTCTACAGGGAGGCTCCACTCGAAATGGGTACCTTTTCTAGGTTTCAGGTATATGAAAGGGTAGGGAAATCTGTCATTTCCGTGTGCAAGGACTCAAAAGGCCAAGTAACAAAATAATGCAATTTATGACATTGAAGAAGTCGAAAGAACTTTTCGGTTTCAGTTAAGTGTGGTATATTCATAGCTAAAAGATAGAACATTTGCAGCAGTTAAAAGGGTTGTAAACTTCTAACTACCCATGATATAGGGGTTCCATTTGTCAATGGAAGGTATACGAAAGGGGTACCTTTTGTGTAAAAAATGATGTATAAAAGGGCAAGGGACTGGACTTCAAGACTGTGTCCTCCC